CAAAAGAATAGCAAGAATATACATAAGCAGTTCTAAAAAAAATTAGACAAGAAAGATTAGAACCTTTCAATACAACAATCTAGACCTGTTCAATAATTAAAAATACACTAACTTTATTCTAAGACCTCAAGAAATTAATTAAATACAAGCTTTTAACAAAACTAATACTAACCATATTCTGGCTACAATAATAGCAAAATGCTTCTACCAAGATACAGACTTCTTTAAAAGCTTTACTTAAGTTCTAGCATCCAGACTACAACACCAAAAAGAATTCAATAACTTATTTACTAATACTCTAGAAATATACAAGAAACAACATGATATTTTAGCTACAAACAAGAAAATCTAAGATCAGATCTTCAAACTATTACAAGTAAAGTTGGCTCTAGACTATCTAACTAATTTAGACTTTAACTCTCTAGATGTATATGAAATTACAATATATATATTCTACCTGGCAGGCTTTGTAAAGATTTTAAAAAATCTTGACTTTGAAACAATACAACAAGCAGTTTTGAACTTTATTACAAAAATACTAATACTATTACCTGCTAAACCAAAACTTATTCTTGTATATTTGCAAAAAGCAATTACTTTTAATCTACTAATCTCAAACCAACAACTTACTATACTAGTCATTAAGACCTTACAATTAATATTCTTATTTAATAGAATACTAAACACATATATTGTATATATTAGAGAACTCTTGCTTACTTCTTACAAACAACTAAGAGAGGAAGTACAAGACTTTTTTCTTATCACAAATAGAGCAGATTTGCAAAAACTGTGTCAATATAAAGAGTCACTATAGAAGTTCTACTTTTTTTACCAAATTTTAATAAAATATTTTAATCTATTTGCTCTAAAGCAGTCTCTATCTTGCATTCTACAAGACTTAATACCAAGACTGAGAAAAAGATTTTCTTTCTTGCCAAAAAACCAAGAAGACTTTAAAGAGTATATCAAACTATTGCAAATAAACTACTTATTTATAAGGCTCCCTAATGATCATATTATTTTCTACAGATACCTACTTGCAAATTTAATGCAATTAAAAATAATAAATTTTGTATTCTTTTTGCAAAACAAAAAGGAGATGGGTACTTTTATTAAAAGTATTCTACCCATCTATAACATCCCAATACTACTACTATATGCATACTGCAATTTCAACTACACAGACTTCACAGACTTATTTGAAAATACTAAACTGATTACTCTTGTCAATCTGATACTACTAATCTCAACCTCCAAAGAACTAAGTATTGCAGTTAAAGTATTATATAAACACTACTATTTTTATACTATACTCTAGTTCTAGATTAATATCAAAAAGAAACAACTAGAGACTAGATCAAACTTAACTAAGCTACCTTCAACAATTGAGCAACTTCAATCAATTCTGTTAAAAAAAAATCACTGATATAAATGTCTCTATAAGAAAACACTATAATATTCTTTTTGTATTAGAAACTCTTCAACAACACTTTGCATATTATACAGTATTAGAATATATTTTCAATTTGATTAACTACCTAAACCATTTTTTGATATCTTCAATAAACAAAAAATATCTATTAGAATATTAGACATACAAAAAATATTTATAACAATAATAGATATACAAATATTTGAAGCAGAGCTATGCTCTAGTACAGATAATCAATGAGCATACATTCTTCTACAAAAATTCTTCTACTAGCAGAAAATAAGAATATATTAAAACAATTAGAACTTAATTTAAACAAAAAAATTAACATAGCTACTTACAATATTAGAGGTTTTAATGATCTACTAAAAATACAAACTTGAGTTGAATACTGTATAGAAGCAAATCTATATATAATTTTTTTTACTGAAACAAAGCTAAAAGATTTGACAACAAAATCGCTAACCAATCTTTTTTACAAAATATATATCTCAAACTTCTTACTATATAAGCTAAATCAATGAAAAACTAGCCTAGAAATAGCTCTAATAATATACAACCAGTTGCAACCATATATTCATAAAATTAATACCCTTCTTGAAATAGCAGTCTATCTTGATTTTTACTTTTTTGGTAGCAACAAATCTCAGATCATCTTAACCTATCTTCTATCAAATCATTCTACTCTTTTAAAACAGACTTAGTCTTAACTACTCACTTAAATTATTGAAGCTAGAACCAGAAACTGGCACTTTATAATTCTAAGAAACTTCAATACCAACCAATTTTAAGATAAATGATTTCTAATATTCACTAATCTAAATACAACCAACTTAACTAATCTTCTGATCTTTTATAGTATTTAAATATCAATCTAAAAGAACTTGTCTGCAAATATAAAAACTTGCTAACTAGATGAAAAACTATCTATATAGTTGTAAAAATCTATATATAAAGCTATTTAACAAAAGATACTAAAGTGTACTTTAACTTGTACTAAAGGTTAAAAATTATATGTCTATAATTTTGGACTATTGCATATCTTATATTATTGTTCTAGTTGACAACTTTCATATTAAATCTAATTCAGATCCTAGAATATCTTTAAAGCCTTGACATGTAATTGTTAATTTTAATTTTAGCTTTAAAACTTCCTCCTCACATGTATTTGTTGTTTTTCTTATTCATTATATTACAACTTGAGACTTTCTGAGAATAAAAGTGATAAACAATGCTGATCCTTTGCTGATCTTTTAAAAAATTATAAAAAAAAAATAATCCAAGGAAAATATAGCTTTGTGAGATTCCAAATTTAAAGAGTGCTTTTTTAATTTGTTTGTTTCATTCTTTAGTCTTTTCTTTCTTCTAAATATAAATTCTAATACTATAATGTTTCCAAAATATTTTTTTGGTTTGGATACTAAATATAGTTGGCTCTCCTAAATGCATCCCCCTAAGTGCATGACCTCTCTAAATACATATTAATTTTCTGGTCCAAATATATACTAGACTCCCATAAATGCATATTTTATTATTGTTCTCTAAATGCATATCCTCAAAAGTTTGGTCCTGATGATATGCATTTATGGAGAGTTGACTGTATGTAAGAAGAGTCTACCAAAAAAAGCTTGACTTCTCCAAAAACCAATATACAGTCACCTGTGTCTCAGTATATCACATTTGCAGTCTTTGTGACAATACCCTGTTACTAAGAATGGAAGTTTACTAGAACTTTAAACTTCAACTTTCCATCTTGTGTTTGGTAAAAATTTGGTTCAAGTGTTGATCAACTTGTTTATTAATATTTTTCTCTTATCCTCTTTTTTTTCTTGTTTGTATGTTTTATCACATTCCCCTATACCTCTGTGTTTTTTATTTTGTTTTTAGTATTTGTTGAGTTTTCTTTGTTTTTTTGCTTCTTGATAAATGCATAGCCACTAACCATTGACTGAAGAGAAAAATATCCTTAGTAAGTTGAGAACCCTGAAGAAGACCAAGTGCTACTGAAGCAGATCATGTTGGCACTTATGCATAACATAGTATTTGCAGACCTTTGTTTTGGTTAAACTATATAACCATAGATAGAAATTTATAAAAATTTTTTAAATAATTTAGTCTCAAATAAATAAGTGTGAAATAGCTGAATTATAAAAAAAAATAAAATTATTAACCAAGTAAAATTTATTCTAATAAAAATTATAGTATAAATAAAATGCAATAAGGTTGTAAGAGGAATTTTTGCTAAACTAGTTTGTTCTTGAATTATATTACTTTAAATTTTAAAAATTTGGTGTTTAATATATAAAAAAAATCATCTATATGATTTATTAACCAATCAAAATTCATTATATAAAAATTGACCAATTATAATTGATTATATAATCTTCAAATTTGGTGCTTTTTAAAAAATATTGGATATTTCTTGATATTTCTTGCTGTCCGGTACTGTATAACTTTTATATTTGATGAACTACAGAACTAAGGTTATAGCAAATGTCAATTATTACGATTTATATCATTATAATACTTTGATAAAATGATACTTCAATTGGATATAACTATACTTCTTCAAATATCTATATCTATAATAAGTTAGTACAGGATAAAAATTAGTCTATAATATTCTTTCCGTAAATCACCTATACAAAAACAAAAATGACTATAACTTCTTAAACTACCAAGTAAACTTACTTCGATACTTTAAGTAAACTTCGTACTGTACGTACTGTACGGAAAAAAAATTCAGGTATCATATAAATGGCACATCACTAGGCATAAGGCATTTATTTATCGCAAAAGGTAGTGATGGCAAATGTTTTAAAAACACGATTTTAAAAAATAAATTGTTTTAAATCTGCTAAAACATGGTTTAATACATTCTGATATAATCATGATCCGAAATTACATAATTCAATTTGTATATATTGTAGCTGGGAACGGAATTTAAGATTATTTAAAAGCAACTATATGGGACCTTTGCTAGGAAAATGACCCTCCGAGGCTATGTCGATTTAGTGAATAAAAATTAAATATGCCGGCCATTTGAATGATTTTTTTTTTTATTTTGTAGAGCTTATTAGCTTCACAAAATAAAAAAAGTTTATTCAAATTGAATAATTAGGTGGTTGGCAAATTTAATTTTAATTCACTAAATCAACATAGCCTCGGAAGGTCATTTTCCTAGCAAATATCCCATATAGCTATATAATAGATTATCCAGTACCCACGTGCTAAAGATAGTCACTATAGTATCCGGAGGTGTCTGGCCTCCAGAGATCCTGATATCTATTTTGGTACCATTCGAACCGTCTCATCGAGAGGAATAGAATGATATCAAAAATTATTAAATTCTAATCACTGAATCACGAGATATTAATAAAATAATCCCCCGATCACTATATCAAGATCACAGGGTTTAATGTTAACGTTAAGGGATAGCATTTACCAAATTGATTACCGTTATGCTAATTTAGATTAGATCACCCAATAAAATCTATTTAAAAAAAAAAAATCAAAACGATTGATTAAAGACATTATTCAAATATCGATATGAAAAAAAAAAATAATGTTAATAACAAATCAAAGAACAAATCAAGTTTGGTTCGTAAAAGGGATTATATTAAATTCTAAGCATTTCTAAATGTGAATTTCGTTTAATTTAAACTATTTTATAGCAAATAAAACCAATACGACACTGGTATACTATTGAACTTCCACCTCTTTCGACTAATTTACCAGAAGTTAAGCTTTCCGATGCAAGAATTTCTTCAAAGTATGATGCTGCAAAACAACTATTAAAAACCGAAAATGATCAATATGAAGCAAACCCAGTATTACACCATTCATTTGATCGTACTTTTTACACAACAATGCTTAAATCCGGTACTCTTAAGGATAAGATATCAACATTATATGTCCTTGTTGAAGAATCACCTATCCATGCAGTTCATGCATTAGATACATTAATGACCATGACTAAAAAGAATAGTAGAGATGAAGCGGTTCAAGCGATTGATTGTTTAATGAATTTGATGCTTGAAACAATTTTGCCAAACCGAAAACTCAAGTAAGCATTATATATAAAAATTTTTTCGGTTATATTTTTTAAAGAAAATTTTTTATTTTATAACGCATTTATAAACAGATATTTTCGTGATCAACCATTAAATGATCCAAAAGTATCGGATAAGCACTTGATAGTTTGGGCATTTGAAGATTATATCAAAAATTATTATTATGAATTACTTCGTGTGATTGAAGTACGTCTTTTTTTTTTCATTGACTCTTTTATTATAATTATTATATTTAATTTAATTTATATTGATTATTTTAAACAGACACTATCTCATGATGTTCTAATATTCGTAAGACAGAAAATGATTTCAATTGTTTTCTCATTGTTTAAAGAAAAACCTGAACAAGAACAAAATTTATTAAGATTGTTAATTAACAAATTGGTATGTCTTTTAAAATACCTTGAGAAAGTCTCAAATATATTATATTAAAAAAATTTCTACAATTTTTCTATTTAGGGTGATAAAGAACGAAAAATAGCATCTAAAACATCCTATTTGATTAATCAGATATTCGAAGTTCATCCATTAATGAAACTTCATATTATAAAGGAAATTGAACAATTAATTTTGTTTCCCACTGCAAATGAAAGATCTTTATATTATGGTGTCATTACATTAAATCAAATTATCCTTACAAAGAATGATACTGAAGTTGCCAACAAATTAATTGATATTTATTTCGTTCTTTTTACTAAATTATTGGAACTAAAAAATGAGGAAATAAGAAATAAGAAGGGTACGAAAAAGAACAAAAAAAAAAATAAAAAGTCTAAAAAATTAAAGGAGGATGACAAGACTGAACGTGGAGATATTGTGGATTCTAAACTTGTCGCTGCAATCTTAACGGGTGTAAACAGGGCTTACAAATTTGCTAAGGTTGATCATAGTGTGTAAGAAAACTTTTAATTATTGATGGTTTTAATTAAACGTTAATTTTTATACTAATAGACAATAAAATGACTAATAGATACAAATCTCGTTTGGATGTTTTATATCGTATCACATATATTGGTACTTTCAACATTAGTATACAAGCATTGATGTTGATTTATCAAATTTCTTGTGGAGGGGAGGTAATATATAAGAACTACTTCTCGTTATTGCATATATATTCTAAAGCATATTATTTGATCATTATAATTGCTTACTAATTTTCTGTATTTTTAGTCATTGTCTGAACGCTTCTATCGTGCACTCTACCAATCATTACTCGATCCTCGTCTCGGCAGATCCTCAAAACATGCGATGTACTTAAATTTATTATTCAAATCTTTAAAAAATGATCCACAAATAATACGTGTTGAAGCTTTTATAAAGAGATTGATACAAATATGTGGACATCATTTACCGCCTTTTATATGTGGTGCTTTTTATATGATTTCAGAAGTATGTTTTATTTATAATAAAATTATAAATCATTCTATCTGAATTATGCATTATGTAAAATTAATATTTTAACAATTATGTAGCTTATAAAGAAGCATCCGTCAATTAGATATTATATTAACCAACCCGAAGATCATGATGGTGATGAACATTTCGTAGATGTACCAGATGATGATTCAAATAACCTAGATCGAAGCGATGATGATGAGTCTAAAAAAATTCAATCTTCATCCAAGACAGCAAATCCTCGAAAATATGATGGTCGAAAACGAGATCCTCAACATAGCAATGCTGATCAAACATGTATATGGGAACTGGTAAATTCAAATATTTCAATATACATATTTTTCATAATAATAATAATAATAAGCCACTAAATATTATTAATATTAATTTAATAGACTATTTTCTCTAACCATTTTCATCCAACAGTTGCTTTATATGCAAAGCAACTACTTGAGAATATATCTATCGATCCACCACCTGAGCTTCATCATCACACATTATCACATTTCTTGGATAGATTTGTATATCGAAATCCCAAAAAGACAGATCGAATTAAAGGTGGTAATCCATTACTTCAACCAACAGTCGCTTCGGAGCCAGGAATGGTAGTAATGAAGAAAGGTACTGGAATATCTAAGGACGAAATAAATGTAAATTCTGAAGAGTTTTGGAGGAAAAAGCTGGATGACGTACCGGAGGATCAAGTTAGTTTTAATGAAGCTTTTTTTTTTTTTTTTTAATTGAATTTCATATGTGACTTAATGATCAAATTGCAATAAATAGGCTGATCAAATAAATGCCTACAATTGTTTAGGTATTCTTTCACAAATATTTTACACAAAAACATGAAGGAAAAGAAGTAAAAAAGGTAAAAAAGGTAAAAAAGAAATCAGACACAACAGAAAACTTTCTTGATGAGGATCAAGATGATGAAGAATTAGAAGATGAAATATGGGCAGCTATGAAATCAACGATGCCTATTAAAATGGATTCTGACCTCGAGAATAGTGATGATGATGATAATGATTTGGAGGATTCATATTTCTCTTCTGAAGGTGATGATAAAGATGATGATGATCAAGATGATGATGAATCAGAAGATGAAATATGGGCAGCTATGAAATCAACGATGCCTATTAAAATGGATTCTGATCTCGAGAATAGCGATGACGATAATCATTTAGAGGAATCATATTTCTCTTCTGAAGAAGAAGAAGATGTTGGCAATGCCAATAATGATAATATCGATGATAGTGATAATAGCGACGATGATGATGAGAGCGATGATGATGAGAGCGATGATGATGATGATGATGATATTAATTTTAACTTCAATGATAATATCGATGATGATGATAATAGCGACGATGATGAGAGCGATGACGATGATGATGATGATATTAATGATAACTTCAATGGTAATATTGATGATAATGGCAATGATAGTGATAATTATGGATGTTTCTAATTATACTATAAGCATTCATTGATCTAATTATTAATAGAAAACTTTGGTATTTTTATTTTTAGATGGTCCAGCCCACAAAAAAATTAAATTGAAACATTTACCGACTTTTGCATCGTATGAGGATATAGCATTATTAGTTAATAAAAAGAATCGCAAGAGATTTCGCAAGAATTAAATCTTTATAAATTATTTCTTGTTTCTTATCGATTAAATGACTTAAGCCTGTAGTATATCTTGTAAAAAATTAATGTCTTACATGTCTTGTAAAAAATCAATATCTTACATGTCTTGTAAAAAATTAATGTCTTACTGTATTACAAGAATTGCAGCGTAAAATTTGTAATTACAGTCAACTCTCTCTAAGTGCAACCTTTCTAAGTGCAACTTCTTTAAGTGCAGTGCAACCTCTTTAAGTGCAATTTCTCTCTAAATGGAACTTGCACTTGGAGAGTTGACTGTATTAGTCAAATGGATAATAATTAATTCCTAAACTTGGCAGTGTTTAGAAAATATTTTTGAATATTTACGGGTATTAACTCATAATAATGTAATCCAGTACATCCACTACATTTAATTAATTTTCATGAAAGCACAATGATATATAGGAAATCCTTTGATTTATTATTGTGGTAAAGTATGTATATTTGTGATAAAAGGTCTTCGGAAGACACCTTTAACCAAGCAATACAATAATTATTTATTAACAGAATTTATAGAACAGCTTATAAAACAGGAACAAATATATAGTAAAACGACTATTACAAATATGAAAATTTCTAAACTACAAAAAAAGAAAAAAAAAAACTTAAAAGATAAAAAACAAAAAAAAAAAGAATTTTTTAAAATTTTTTCAACGTAAAAAAAAAAAAAAAAAGTTTTTGGTTAGATATGAAAAGGTAATTAAGATAAATTTACCTATGACTAATAGCTAATAGTAATAGTAAATGATAATAGTAGTAGTAAAAACATAGTATGTATATATATAATCTATTTTATTTAAAAATATATAGTTTTATTAAAGAAAAAGAAGCACCAACCTCAATTTCAATAATAAAGAAATTAATCACGATTTTTTTCAACGAGTAAAATTGGTTTCATTCTTGGATCCTCTTTTTTAGCAGCAGCCAAAGCAGCAGCATTAGTACCAAAAGCGTAGGAACCCCATTTCAATATGCTAAATCTTTTATTAGAACCATTAGTCATAGTTTGAGAACGTCTAGGAACATTGGTAGAAGGACGTTGACTAATAGTAGAATAATCATCACTAGCGCGTAATTTCCTTGTAGTAGACACAGTAGAATCTTCTTTATCATCTATTATCTCATCTTTTGAAACTGGGGAAGAGAGAGAATTAATTAAAGAAGTAGTAAGGGAAGTAGTAAGGGGAGTAAGAGAAAATTTAGAAGTCGTAGAGGTAGGTGATGATGAGGAGGAGTTAGCAGAAGAACTTGTAGGAAATTTAAAATCGGAGGAGAAAGAATTATTACGTGGTTTTGAAGGAAGTGGTTTGTTTAAAGAATCGTTAGAAGTATTTGGACTTGTTGGATTTGAAACTCGATCGTTAACTTTTGAAAGCTTTTTTTGATGTAATTCTGGAGTCCAGTTTGTAGCCAAAGTTTCTTCAAATCCATCCACTTCCATTATACGATTTAACATTTTTTGAATATATTGATTCATTGACTGGTTATCATCCTTAAGGGACTTGATTTCATTTTGAAGTTCTATATATTAAATTAATAATCATTTAAATATATGTTATAAGCATTAAAAAGAAGAAACGTCAATAACATCAATAAAAAATAATAACCTTCAATTAAAGTATGATCAGATTCTTTGTGAACACGTTCTCCGCCAAGCGAGACACCAGAACGATTAATTTCAACATCCGAATCGGAAGAATCGGAACTGTTTTTATTACTCAAAGCGGCATTCTTTGCTAATTCATTCTCATACAATTCTTTTAATTTTCGATACTAAAAAAAAAAAAAAAAAGATAGAATAATGAGATAAAATAAAGAAACGAATTAAATAAAATAAAGAAACGAATTAAATAAAATAA